CAGTTCGGGCATTGCATCAGTTAGCTTACGATGAAGGTGAATCATATCCAGAAGTAGCTAATAGTGTTTTACAAGACTTTTATATGGATGACTTAATGTCTGGCTGTCATGATGTTGAAGAAGGCCTGAAACTATATAAAGAGTTTAATGAATTAATGGAAAAAGGCTGTTTTAAATTACAAAAATGGGGTTCAAATAGCAAGGAATTCATGCAAAAATTAAATAATGGACAAAAAGAAAAAGGAAAAGGAGAAGCTACAATAGAAAAAATAAATAAGTTAGAAATAGGATCGGAAAAGGATAAAAATGAAATTAAGAAAGTTTTAGGTTTAAGATGGAATAATGCAACTGATGAGTTTGAATATATGATACGCCTGCCAGAAGTAAATACACCAGTTACAAAAAGAAAGGTAGTTTCTGATATCTCCCGATTGTACGATCCATTAGGCTGGATAGCACCGTCTATAATTCAAGCGAAAATTTTTATACAGAAATTATGGATGGCTGGGATAGAATGGGATCAAGAATTACCTAATAATTTACTACAGGAATGGCTTACATACAGGGATAAACTTACCTTAATTACTGAATTCACTGTACCTCGATGGATGCGCACTAGTCGTGAAGATGTTTGTGTAGAACTTCATGGGTTCTGCGATGCGTCGAATGATGCATATGCGGCGGTGGTGTATATTCGAGTTGTAGATTGTAATGCCAAGGTACATGTCAATCTCGTTACATCAAAAACGAGAGTTTCACCGATAAAACAAGTTTCGGTACCACGTTTGGAACTGTGTGGGGCGGTATTGTTGGCAAAATTATTGTTTGAAGTGTCTGAAGTGTTAGAGGTATCGCGTGATCATGTTCATGCATGGACTGATTCTCAGGTGGTGCTAGCATGGCTTAGTAGTCACCCTAGTCGATGGAAGACCTTCATTGCTAATAGGGTATCTGAAATACTTACTTTGTTTGATAGGAAACAGTGGTCACACGTTCGTTCCTCCGAAAATCCTGCCGACTGTGCATCACGTGGCATTCAGCCATTCAAAATAACTGAAATCAAACTGTGGAAATATGGCCCATCTTGGTTGCTAGAAAAAGATATTAAATACAGTCCACTGAGTTACAACAACCATGATACAAAGTTAGAAGAAAGGGCCAAAATAGAAACAGTGTTTACTCTTACGAACATTTCAGAGGACGAATCTTATAAAAGATTTTCATCGTTTCGAAAACTAATAAGAGTTTTGTCATATTGTCGTCGATTTATTAAAACTGTATATTTAAAAATTAAAAATAATTCATTGCCTTATTTTACTAAATGGCTTACTAGTGCAGAGTTACAAGAGACAACAAAAATTGTCATTAAAGAAAATCAACAATTACATTTCAAAGATGAGATTAATTGTCTTACATCAAATACACCAATCAACAAGAAAAGTAAGCTGCGCAGTCTCAATCCCTATGTGGACGGAAACGGAGTCCTCAGGGTGGGGGGAAGATTACAGAAATCACAGCTTACTTCTAATGTTATTAATCCAATCTTGATTCCGTACAAATCTAACTTGACCAACCTCTTAATTTCTGATGCTCACGAAATAACGCTTCATGGTGGTCCTCAGCTGATGTTAAATTTTCTTCGTTCAAAATACTGGATAATAAATGCAAGAAGAGCGGTAAAAGCATGTATCCACAAATGCGTGATTTGTACTCGATATTCGTCACAGTCTTCTAATCAACTTATGGGTCAACTTCCATCAGCTAGAGTTAACCCAAGTCGACCATTTTTACATAGTGGCGTTGATTATGCTGGTCCAATAGCAATCAGGACTACTAAAGGAAGAGGTCATCGCTCTACAAAAGGGTATATTTGCCTTTTCATATGTATGTCTTCTAAGGCTATACATTTAGAAGCTGTCAGCGATTTAACATCACAAGCTTTCATAGCTGCCTTCAAAAGGTTTGTCGCTAGACGTGGTCATTGCTCAGACTTATGGAGTGACAATGGCACAAATTTTATAGGGGCAGCACGGGAGTTGAGAAATATGCTAACTAGTGAGAGGTCTCATATTAATACAGAAATTGCAGACTGGTTAGCTACTAATGGAACAGAATGGCACTTCATTCCACCTCACGCTCCGAATTTTGGAGGATTGTGGGAAGCTGGAGTGAAGTCCACAAAGCACCATTTAAGGAGAGTTGTTGGTACTTCCACTCTTACGTTTGAGGAGATCACAACAGTTTTAACCCAAATTGAGGCCTGTCTCAATTCGAGACCAATCACAAAGGTAAGTGAAGACTCAAGCGATCCTTATCCTCTAACTCCAGGACATTTTTTAGTAGGTGGTCCACTGGTGCTCGTACCTGACACCAATTATGAATCATCAAATATTAATAGTTTAAGGAGGTGGCAATATACACAAAAAATGGTACAAGATTTTTGGCGTAGGTGGTCAAAAGAGTATCTGGTTCAATTTCATCAACGTCACAAATGGTCAAAGCAAATTGCTGAGCCACAAATCGGTGACATCGTTTTAGTTAAAGAGGATGATCTTCCTCCGGCTAGATGGCTTTACGGTATCGTGACAGAAAAACACCCTGGCTCTGATCAAATTACGCGTGTTGTCAGCTTGCGATGCAAAGGTTCAATTATTAAAAGACCCGTTTCGAAATTGTGTATATTACCGGTTGATTGATAAATAATGGAAATAATGAAAATGAAATTTATGTTATTTTGAACTAAGTTGAAATATTGTTCAATCTATTCAATGAATTAATTATTATGTTAAACTATAGTAAATGAATTTATTTGACTATGTATTATTGTTTTGTATTACCTAAGATTTAATTTTTTGTTATTGATGTATCATAAATTTATTTAATTTAATTAAAACATTTATTGTTAAAAAACAAAAAAAGATTAGTTATTCTTTATTCAGAATGAAATTTTGTCTAAGTTGATGTTATTTGTGGTTAAAGTGTAATTATCTAATGAAGAGTTTTTTATGGACATGCTGTCCATGGTGGGCGGTTATGTTAAGAATGAATAGTTATTGTTTCGGCTACTAGATAGCGCTACATTATTTGTACATTGCGGTATGGTTTCACTTGTTTTTGTAAATATATAGTCTATTATGAAATTGTACTGTTTGTCACTTTAATACATCATTTTAATGAAAACTATTTTCTTTCTTTTCTATAAATCTTTTTGGGACAGTGTTCACAAGGAAAAAAAACATATTTCCGATGGGTGAAGAAAATATTCCGAAATCATCAACGGAGAATATGGCACGAATATTTTTATTGAATATTTATATTATTATCATAAAGTGAATGAATTGAATATTTAAAGTTAAGGTCGTCACAAATTGTACTTAAACGTCACTTAAATAGGTTTTCGTATCTGATTTTAGTTACCATACCAGTTTGATAAAATCTAAGATTTTTGCCTAGTGAAAGGAAAAAAAAAACTTAAGATAATGAAAATAATCAGTTGAAATTTATCACCTCAGCTGTTATACAAAGATTATTGAAATATCATTTTGTTCCAAGTGGCTTGTACAAAATAAAAAAATATATATATTAAAGTTTGGCTACACAAATTCTCAAAGATTACAATATTCTCGTAGTTTAGAAATGTTCCACAGAACAGTTCATCAACTGCAATGAGAATTTTGTTAAGTCTATGATTTGGCTAAACTTATTTCTTTTATTTTTAGTTCGATTTTAGCAATCGTGTTTTTAATTTTTTTATTTACAAGTATATTACCTAATTTTTAGTGCACAGTTAATTATGTATAGAGAATATATATTTTAAACGTGCTTATTAATACCTTTAATTTGATACCTATGTTTCTATAATTTAAAACAGTCACACTTTTTTAAATGGCGTCATACATCCGCCATATTTAATATTCAAAAATATAGCCAGTGTCCCTGATACCCTCTGCAGTTTGTGGTCATTGGGGACAATGTAACTTTTCTAATGATAACCCTATACGTTCATATCCGTTATGTCTTTCAAAAGTTATGGTGGAATAAGAAAAAACTCACACACATAAACACAACAGATTCCTTTTGTGTCGTTTCCTGTGCAGTCGTGTTAAAATGTTCGGAAATCGATAATGAATCACATCATAGGAATACTAAAAAATTTTCAAAAATTGGAAAAAGTATCAAAATCGCTTGGTTTCAACACGGTATTGTGGACTCGTGATCTTGAACAAGTTGTCGAGAACTAGGGATGCTTCAAAATATCTAATACAATAGAGTGCAAATAGGGATGATGACTAATTTTTGTTTTTTTGTCCGTCAGGTAGTGTTCAAAAAATATTAAACACGTATTTTTTTCGTAATCATAAAATTACGGCGTTACATTGAGTTGATAACGTCACGTTAGGGTACGTTTTCTACTCAACTGTGACGTAGCGAGCCCTCACTCCTCAACTTTAATGCCTGTTATCTAAGCTATTTCTTGTTAAATTGAAGTAAAAAAAAATACATATCTAATATTTTTCTATTATCTGACTGACGGACTAAATAGAATTGCATTTTTTTACCCAGTTATCATCCCTATTGTAATGGGGCTCTTACAGTGCAAATTGTATGGTGTTATTATATAAACAAGGATTAGCGTCAAAGTAAATTTACGCTAAAATTTCAATTTTAGTATTAGTCCAAATTTATATTATACGGAATAATAAGCAAGCCTACTACCTTTCAGGAGTAAATATTACTCCCGTAGTACCTCGTAGTAGGCTAACCGTTACTAAGTCTCTGTTTAATAATATGAATTTTGATTAATATTAAGTGCAGTCACAGCGTAAATTTACTCCAATGCTAAACTTTGTTTATTAATAACACTGCTAAGGTTTAATGACGCCTTTAAGCTCTAATGAATGTCAAATATGGCCGGTTAATGTCACTTTAAAGTAGTGACAATTGTAACGGCTGTTGTGAAACTGGCTAAAAGCTACTTAAAGTTGTTAAGAATGACTTACTTTAGTTACTTCAGTTCTCAGCTTTACAGGATCATTAGGTCCAATAACACAACTGGCAAATTTGCTGAAGATCATAGGCACTTCTGGAGGTGTCTTGTTCTGCTCTTTGCAATGGTCCATGTAGTTCAGGCCGATGCACAGAACTTTATCTTGACCTGTGATGGGTGCTACTAGTCTTATGTTGCTAAGAGGTTCTGGTGTAGGATTCTTTAATTTGATTCTGTTTAAAAAAAAACTATATTTTTATTAAATATTCAAAATGGAATGGATTAGATTAAATAACACATAATTGAGAATCCACCTTTAATGTCAATTTCAGCATCAATAAACATTAAAAAAAAAATATGTTTAGAACTTGATTTGTCACTAAGGGTTGGTGCATATTTGATGGAAGATGAACTGTTTCACATCAGTAACAGAACATTAGAAATCACAAATATATAATATGAGATTCAACCTCTCGCACTTGATGGATGATCCATCTATTCATACTTCTGTGAGACTCTTCTGTGAATTTTCATAAGATTTTCTCTAACAAAACCCAATTGAACAAACAGCTTGAAAAGCTGGAGGCCATTGCAAAAGATCATCTCAGAGTAACTGGGGCTGGTGAATTTTTTAAGTATTTTTCATTATGAATATGTTCCATTTTGCATTCACAATGCATGAAATGAATTGATAAAATATAATATTTTCGGTAGATAAGTTTATATGAATAAAGGTCTATTTTATTTATTTATTTAGCTATAGTGGGTTTATTCTGATTGCACAATGGTTAGATAATATATTTTTTAGGACTGTCATCCTAAAACAAAGTATTATCTAAAGCTCCTCTGCACTTCCATCCCATCTCAGAGTCCAAGGGACAAAGTGGATTTTTTTGGTAATTTTCAGTATAACAGTGTGAATGCAAAGTCAATTTAAAAAATAATTAGAACAATTTTCATTTTCATTGGAAGTCTGAATATTGGTAAAAAAAATTATTTATATTATATTATAATGTTGCTCAGATACAAGGAATAACAAAGGCAAATATTGATCACTTAACTTAATAAAACAAATAACTTACCCTTTAACTTTTTCTAAGTCTCCATTATTCAAAATACCTAGTAAAGTATTAGAAAGAGTATTATCTAACTTATTTACATCAACTACGCCGTTTCCCTCAACATATCCTACATAAACATTTTTTGGTTTCTCGTTATAACTAAACTGTACAAGCTTCATGTTTTTACTTGACGATAAGGAAAAACCTCTGAAAGAACTCGATGTCACACACTTATTGAAATATTCTTTATTTAATATGCGGCTTTTTATACAAGATAGCGGGCGCCCAAATACCAATGTTCCATTCATCTTTCAAGGTTATTTTACGTCACTGTTTTTATTGAAGTTACATAAACCTACACGTAAACAATCTAATGTTATATAATATAGTAAGTTTCAAACATATATGTTAATGTATCTTTTCACAATAAATTCGATTTTTTATGCAGATAACGTTTAGAACTTATTAAATAAATTTATGGTAAAAAAGGGTAGGTATCATTTATCTCATTTATTATTAAATAAACTAAATATTGCGTTGACAACTGATAACCACAGCTGATAACAGTCACTACCAAAGAGTAATATTATTCTACTGTCAAAACCAGCTGTTAGATGTTAGAATCTTAAGGTCGATTTACACCACTGCCCAGCCAAGCCAACCACTGTAACTTACAAAAGCCATTTTTAAGATATTAGACAAAATATGTTTTTGATTTGCTTATTAAAAGACGATTCATATAATTTTATGAATTTAGTAATGAGTAGTTCATCTCAAGTATACTGCCTTTAAAGATTTAAGATAATTTTATCAAAGAAAAAGGTGTGGCGACTGATACGTTGCGCCATCTATCACATCGCACTAACATCGCCACAACAATCGATAACAAGACGAATTGCAAGTACTTTCAAAACCGTTATTAAGATCTTACAAGTCATTAAGAACAAAGGAAACCTCCAACGCCCACAATGAGTTTCATTACCAATAAGGAAGTATTAAAAAAAAAACGAAAGCACTAAAGAAGCACCTCCACTAGATGGCGACTCTAGAAAAAGTTGATTTTTGCAGGAAACAAATGGACCAAAGCCAGTCATTTCCGTTCCTTTTAACTAACATATTAAAAAACTGAAATTTGAAAAGTTCAAAACTTATAAACAACTCATATTCTATTTGTATTATATCAATACAAATAGAATATGAGTTGTTTATTAAGTTTTGAAAACTAATTTACTTTTAATTAGTTTGAAAGGAACTAGTGGAGGTGCCTTTTTAGTTTTTTTTTTTTAAATACTTCTTCATTAATAATGTTATTGATTGTAGAGCGCAATTTTAAAAATCTCAATTAAAACTTATACTATAATCAAAATTCAATTTTTTAATATGTTAGTTGAAAGGAACGGAAATGACTTTTGCTAGAGTCGCCATCTAGTGGAGGTGCTTTTTTAGTTTTTTTTTTAAATACTTCTTCATTAATAATGTTATTGATTGTAGAGCGCAATTTTAAAAATCTCAATTAAAACTTATACCAAATGCAATATCTATTGTTTTAAAAATACCATTGTCAAGTTTTTGACATTGTAAGTTTTAATCGCTCTCTGACTCACACGTTTCCAACGTAACATTATCTGTACCAGTTAAAGGTTCATTACTGCCCAGATAGCAATTTAAACTTGTTTCTGACTTGCAACAAGTTTGATCCATCAAAAAAGAAGACTTGCTTCAAGTTTGCCATGACATCTGCAGCAACTTGAAATCAAACTTTCTAGTTTCAGTGTGACAAACTTGCACTACCTTTGACACGAATACCTAGCAGGTACTTGAGAACTCGAGTACCTGGAATACAAGTTTCGAGACAAATATTACTCTAAGTTTTTATTAATCTGTAGATCATTCAAAACTTTTTTTTTTTCGGCTCTCAACCTTAAGGGTTCGGAACCACCTTCCCATCAACGGAGGAAGGACGCGGTGAATCCTTCATTGGATACCCCACGGCCGGCCGTGAGGTTATGTCAGACTCCTACTGACTAAACACCGCCTTGGACTATTGGTTGCATGCCCGGAGGCAACGAACCTTCAACCGGAGCGACCGCCCCCCCTCAAGGGGGGGGGGGGCGCAGACGTCCCTAAACACTTACATGAATAGTGACGTCGAGATGTTTGCCGTTAACCCCGGGGGGCTCGGCACATTGGATTGAAATACAGCTGACTCCCTGAAGGGGAACGATCAGCCGGATTGGACCGGGGTATGACCTGAAGGGTCGGCGTGTGGAGAGTAGGGAGGGGAGCATCACATACCACCAGAAGGGTGCTATTTGATAACCGTAACAATTTGTGTGGCCTGTATCCTGAAGGGATGTCAGGTCGAGAGGGCAGAGAGGGTTGACCTGAAGGGTCAGTATGATGGGGGTGGATTTGACCCACTGGGTCTCGTAAGGAGGTCCAGGTCGGCCACAGGATGGGTTGTGGGAGGTTTGGGAGACCTAACATGTTGTTAGTGCTTATGATAAGGCACTTAGTAACGCTTCGTGTTCACACAGCGCCAGAAGGCGTTCCTGTGTAGACGAAGCGCGGCGGAGCTTAGCCGCTAGGGTGGTGATTTCATTTATGTCGATTCCACGAATCAAGTTGAGGACTAGATTTATGTCATCGGCTATAGATGAAGGAACAGGAGCGGTTTTGGGAGGTGAGACGGAAGCCTTTGGTGAGGGCTTCGTCTGGGAGGGTTTCGGAGGGGGACCCCATACCGGTTGTGAAGCCGGTTTGGGGGCGGAGTGGTTCGCCTTTGGTAAGGCGGGGAAGTTCGCCGTGGGCGGAGGAGGGGCTTTAGGCGCTTTGTTGACCACCGGGCCCTTACCCTTCTTCTTAGAAGAGGGTTTGGGCTTCGGCGCTCGTGGGCAACCTTTATAGTTGGTCGTGTGGCCGATTTAGCCACACAGTACACAGGCCGGAGGGGTGAGAGTGTCTCGAGTTCGAGAGCACTCCTTTGTGGGATGTGACTCGAGGCACTTTACGCACCTTGGAGTCGCGGAACAGTTAGCCGCCGCATGCCCGTAAAGCTGGCATCGGTGGCACTGTCCCGGAGTACCGCGTCGGTGAGGGGGTTCTACTTTAACCCCGGTAAGGCCGCAGACCCTAAGGTCTTTAGCCTTAAAAATGTCACGAGCGTTGGGGACATTTGGAATGATGAGTAGAGCCAGTGGGAAAGGCCTGCCGGCTCTACTGTGTATCTTGTGTACGGATTCTACAGGGAATCCCTGTTCGTTTAGATCCTTATGGATCAGATCGGTGGCGAACTCGTACGGAACATTTCTTAGGACCGTACGTACTTTGCGCTCCTCTGGGAGTGCGTAGGTATGATAATCCACCTTGTGGTGGGTTAGGAGTCTAGTGAGAGCTCTATAGTCCTCACTAGTGGGTGTTTCCACCCGGATAGCTATACCCATGTTTTTGGCATGGGTGTAGTTGATCTTATTTTGAGTGCAGAGATTCGAGACCTCTGCCCACCTTGATTTGTCCCGTATAAATACGGCAGGCAGAGGTTTGGGTTTACCCGGCTGCAGATCGCATTTATTATGCGGCCGCAGCGGGGTGGAGGGGGGAGTAATACTAGGAGTATTCTCACGAGTGGCTTTTTTGCCGGTGTTGCCTCTGGTAAGGTTTCGGCCGAGGGAGGTTTTCTCGGCGGTATTGCTTACCGAGGACACCCCGCCCGACGTGCGGGGCTTTGGAGCGACGTTTTCCGTGGATGCGTCCGCACTTGCTTTAGGAGTGCGTGGCTTACGACGCTTCTTGCGGCTTCTAACCGTATGAAACGAACTTGAGGATTCGTCGGAATCGGACGTCCTGAGAAGGTCGTCGTCCGACGGTGCGGGGGGCGGGGGGGCGGTATCGCTGTGAAGCGGTCCTCTTTATGGATGTGCTTTCGCACTCCATGACGGAGGTTAGGGGTGACGCATATGCCTGGGATAGGGATAGGGCCTTCTTTGCGTTGACGACCGCTTGGAAGAGGTGATCGGGTAGGATACGTTGAAGTTCCTTGAAGGAGAATTGTCTGTTAAGCAGATCAGACATGCCGGCAATGCAAACCGTTAATTGCAAGAGAGAGAGAGGAGTAGTTGTATTTCACTCGCACTTCTCTCCGTCACACCTACCTTGGTAGGTTAGAGGGAGATAGGGCGAGTGTGCAAAAGACCAACCCCGCGCCGGAGCGAGCGGCTATCCCTAGTGGATATAGCGGCAAACCTTCACCCTTGGGACAAGGCCCAAGTGCACTGGGATCGGGTCTTCGGTGTTGCTAGAGCCTGAAGGGCCTTAGCGAGCGCACCGGGATCGCTCAGTTGGCTTAGTTGCCACCGTTAGGTATCCACCAACTCAAGAACTTGAGAGTGAGTCAAGTCCTGCTGGTTTGATGTTTTGAAAAAAAAACAAAATCAGCAGGGCCTGCGCTCGAGGTGTGTAGAAGGCACGAGACGTACTCACAGTTTGGGTAGGAGAGAGTCGTGTACGCGCACGGGGGCGCGCAACGAAAGCTGAGAGCGGAATGTTCAAAACTTTAAACGACATATTACTTATACAATCTAACAATATAAACTGATACCGCGATGCATTAAATTACAGCACCATCTAGTTTGCAGACTTAGAACTATTCGGGCACCTATGAAGATGATGGGTTCACAGAGAATCAAAGGTATTATACTTCGCGCCTCGTTCTCGAGATTAGTATTTATTTGATTAGATTATATTACTAGTAGTATCGCATATGTGTCACTACTCCGGCACTATAGTTGAGATTTCTTTGCATTTGCTTTTTTTTTTTATTACGAGGGTAGTTCTCATCTTCTTAGTCGATACCGTTCCCTGCCATCTTCATTCGCTTTATAGTGCCCGACTGCTCCGGTCGTATTCCCAATAACGTGTATAACAGATCGTTAAAATGCCGAAACGTACGAAAGTTAGAACATGTGAAGAAGAGTTAAAACATCCTCAAAAGAAAATGCGTAAATTAGAACAAAAAATATGTGATAAGGAAAGTTCAGTTAGTGACTTGTGCCCGAATTTATTGGTACGGAATGCAATCAGAAAAGTCATTGGGGCTTATTCAACGCATTCAGTAAATCAGTTAGCGTTCAATCCATTGGGGATCTACCTAACTTTGACAAGATAACTATCGTTATCTAAAAGTGCTATTGTACATATCGTACCTATCAGACTATAACGTATTTACGTTAAAACAAAAAGTATGCACCTGAACTGCCGTTGGGGTTGATTCGTCGCATACTTTTATGGATGACTATGATCGTCATAGTCATAATATGAATGAAAATCTCAAACGATTTTCTTATTTTTCTGCCACCCCACCTACGGTGCCGAGTGATTGGTTATTAGAACAAACTCATTCTGACGA